TCCCGTTCAGGCCTGAATTTTTTTCAGGCTTTAATTTCACAACTGCTTAAGTTGTGTGCATAACTGCGATGATCGATCATGTCTTCAGAGTTACTGTAATCAATTTTGATTCAACTTTTTTTTAGTTTTTCATTTATTTATTTATTTATTTTATTTTATTTTATTTTATTTTATTTTATTTTTTTTTTTGGTCTGTAAAAATATGTTATCGTTTTTGTCGCGGATATAGTACTTGAAGGTTCTGAAGAAGTAGGTCTTCTTCGTCCGAGCCTTTCAACAGTTTCAATTTAAGCCTGTTTACGGCGCAGTACTTTCAAAGGGTAGTAGAAACCGTCTGTCAGGGTTTCTGGTGGTACTGTTTATTCTGTAAACGAAACTACGTGCCCATCCAAATAAACTGTTTATATTCTGCTCTATGGTTCAAGATGGAAATTTGGAGATTTTCCTGTCTTAAATTCGACCAGAGGACGATTGAACTGAAATTGAGAGAGGGCGAGGAAGAAACAACAGTTTAGGCACGCAACATGCGTGACTGTGATTCCATCTGACATGAGTACATGTCAGCTTAAGCTTTTCCAGGGAAACGTATCTGGACTTCGCCATTATTCCATTCAAAACATTCAAGCTTCACATGAGAGGGTGAAAGGTCTAATAGTCTCGTCATAAAGTCCATAAAGTATTACACGAGTGACACCGGACGGAAATGTCTCGACGTAACTACCCCTCCCCACTCCGTAGAGCTTTTGTCGCATCTTCTGAGCCGGCCAGGTGAATCTAAACAAGACGAAAATGGACTCGTTAAAGTTCGTGGCTGCAAAGGTAAAACATAGCCCTCAAGTCATAAGAAAGACGTTTTCTAGCTCGCACAGTCCGTATGCCAAGGTACTAGAAGGAGAGAAGAGCAAAGGTAAGCAAGGCGAACATTACACGAACAGTCTTCAGTTTGGTCGAAGACCGAATGGAGTGTGAATTAACATAACTTAAAATGTTCGTTTCATTGTGAATGCACATTAATGTGCCGCAAAGAAGCGGGCTATTAATCTCCTTTTACAATAAAACCGGAATAATGCCTAGATACGAGAGAAAGAACGTGACAAGAAGTTAAAGATAGGATTCTGGTGTGATGATGGATCAGACTTTTCCATGTTTACTTTACATGTACGTGAAGCTTTTATTCTCGAATGCGGGGAAGACGCAATCATTGAAGTAATTACAGAGCTATAACTTCGACAGAAAGTTCTGCACTGAATGTAATTTTGAAGCTGTTAGTTCTCGTTTTTTATCAGTGATTATATGATCGTTTCCTCGAAGATTCGCAGATGGACGCAGCAACATTGACGCAAGGACGGAAATATTTTGACAACGCAAGCTTACACGGCAGATAAACTTACATGTTTCATTTGTAAATAGATGCTGCCTGTAGCAGTCAGTGAAATGAATAAAATTATCAGCTTAGTTCTTCTTTTGAACTGAGAAAGCTCTTATTAAGCTCTGTAAGAAATCCCTCGCAATGTATATTCTAGATATTTCTCAATTCTTTCGATGCATGATTTGCATGATATGTGAGTTAACAATTAACCTATTTCCCGCGAGCGCGCTCAGTGAAAGAGCCATACAGTTTTCAATAAATTATCTGCGTTAAAGTAGGTAGGCCTCAATTCTGCCTGTCGAATGTGCTGCTGAAAACAGCTTAGTTATTATTTCATGTTGACTGCACGGAAAGAAAGTAGCTTAAATGATGTTTGGACACGGCCGTGAAGGATAGTGTTGCCTATATACGGAGCTTACATCCGATCAGAGAGGTTTCAAACTACATCTTCATTATATTCCAAACCGAGTGACAGCGATCTTTACCAGAGTGTGCATATCGATGAGAAAGGATTACTCGTAAACATCTGTTCTTATACGCGCCGCTAGCACTAGCTAGCTAGGCAATAAAGCTCAATAAACTGAGTTGCACTCATGCTGAAGCATTGTTGTTGTAAAGCGGATGTAATCATATCCACATGTTAATATGCGCTATAAAAATTCTTGCTTTTTTGAAAGTTCTTGATTCCCGTCATCCAACCGCTTCACTTCATTTTCTGATCACCCAGACAGCTAGCAGAAGAACAATAGCTGTAGCTGGCCGCATAAATCAATTTTGAAACGGCAAGGCGCTCTAATGATGTTGTGTTCTCTCGGGCTTGAATTTTCAAATTTCATCACGTAATCTTTATAATTTCGCTTTCGTGATATTGAAAACAAAAGATTACAACAATATCAAATAACAAGCAAACACGACTGAGGTGGTACTCGAAGGACGTAGTCGTTAGTGGCTGGTTTTCTTGCTGAGAAAGACTAAAGAAAGCCCGGACTCAATCGCACATTTATTTTGTTGTCAGAGGTGGAAAGATACGACTGAACAGCCAACTGACCATGCATTTGAATATACACCCCTTATCATCATCACACAAAGGAACGACTGGCTTTGTGCCTTCAATTACTATTGTTCTAATATTCCATTGTTCTGGATTGCTTTCAAGTGTAATAAGTGCAAATGTTGTGCCTTTCATTTTGCTGATTTAGCTCGTTAAACTTTAGTAATGAGAAAGCTCCGAGTACACTTCGCTGTTGATATTAGTTCCGAAATCAATATACAATATTTATTGCCGACGTTTTAATTTTCTCTTCTAGAGTAAACATAATATTATGCGAATGAGGTGGAGATCGTTTTGCGTTTTAGTTTATTTATTTATTTTTTATTTTATTTTATTTTTTCTCATTCCCACCGGCTGGAAACTGAGAGGATAGTTTAATTTGATGACTTGAAACCATGATGGAGCAAGTTACAAACTGAATTGAAAGATTTCATCAGGAGACGATTTTACTGTAATTATATCATGGCAATATCGAAATATTCGTAATGTTATCTAAGAGCAAAAGAGACAGTATTCCTAGAATATCAATAGTCTAGAGAAACTCTTCAAAGACCCGGTTCAAAGATCACCAAATGCCAAAATTTAACCCTTATGGCTAGTAAGATTACGGAATAGCAAAAATTTTCAAATTTACGTATAATAAAAATGTCTTGTTATTTTTTGTGTTTACTTTCTGTTGTTTATTTGCGTTACAATGTAAACGTTGAAATTTGTTAAAACTTTAAGGAAAAACTAATAGTTTAATTTACCAAAATATCTTGAACTGGAGCATCTGAGGTTGTCTCTTTAGAGGACGTACCCTAGCATCAGTAATTATTTACACTTTCTTAAGTAAATTTCCTTTATCAACCGGTCAGGTAAACTCCAAGAGGACTGGCTTCATGCTGAAGACTCGCTGAAAGAAGGGATTCACTTTTATGTCAAGGTTAGTTTTTTTCAACCGCCCTTTTCCGAGTATGAAGCCGGTAGAGATGTTAAAAACCAGCCGTCCGCTCTCTGTTGTTCGTTCCTCCTCTTTTCTGTACCTGTGGAGGTGGGGTGGCCTCATGGTTAGAGCCCTGGCCGGGGACATTGTGTTGTGTTCCTGGGCACTCGTGTGAACAACCGCCTCCTTTTTAGGGCGGCTTACCGTCATGCACATCGTTAACCTTAATTGAATTGTATTGATTGAAAAATTAATCAATTTTTGTTTTAATTTTTGGCTATTCATTGCAATTTCTTGTTACATGTTAAATGTTTGTTTCACGTACAGATGCTCGGATCTTGTCCTGTATTTCAAGCTCAGGGTTCAGGCTGCACAGATGAAGCTGTACAGAAAATTGTGTCAAACGCTAAGAAGGTACGTAGTGTGTGTGTGTGATATGCGGAGGTGCAAAGTTATAACAAAGAAATATGGCTCTATATTTGAGGTTTGATTCAAAACCCTTTTCCACGTCAGATTACCAACCTGTTTATTTTTTGTTGGTAAAACAGCGAAGTGGGTAAAAATATCAGGCTGTTTTCGAAGTTTTCGAATTACGGCTTGCCTTGCTTGCGAGATCATTGTGGGATAGTATCATTAAACGTAGCTTGTTCCAGCCCGGTCCGAGACAAAGACTTACTCGGTAATAAGTAATGGAACTCAAACTTGAGAACATTAATTTTTACACGACTTTTATTTTACCAGTTAGAAGTTAACCATACACAATACCAAAATTAAAGCACATCAAATATTACTACGTCCAAGATAAAATGAATTTGGAAGCCACAAGTAGATAACGAAAAAAGTTTGGACTACCAGTAGTCCCTCTTTCGCTTTGTCCGTCGAGCGAGACCGTAAATAAACCGCGAGGGAAAACTGGCGGCGTGAAACAGTGCAGGCGAAAAGCGCGCTTCCCGCTTCTCGCACCCAGATTTTGCGTGGCCATTTCTTTTCTCGCGATTTTTTTTTTCGGGTCCTGCACGACGGACTAAGGGAAAGAGGGACTACTCGTATCCTAAAAGAAGTTAGAAATGTTGACTGGGATTCTTTTATCCAGGCAAAGAACACTCCTGCTAGTGGAAGCCTTCAAAAGGTTTTGATCACTGTTTCAATCCGGAAGCTCACTGTTCAAGATATGCTTTCAAAGGTATTTGATCAACCTGCAGTAGATGTTTGCTTATGACTTTATTTGTACGTCATTCATATGTCACATTCCAAAGTGAAGGTCTGCGTGAGGTTGCAGGAATATCAGTTATCAATTAAACTTTTGGCAATTTCTTAGGAATCAGTAAGAACCTCTGCCCATTTCTCAACAACCAATGAATTTCTTAGATCTCTCATATCTCAGTTATCAGTTAAATAACTCTTAATTTTTAAGCTAACAAGATTTGGACCAATTTTCTGCCACAGCAGCCAAACCCTACTGAGACCCTCGAAGTACCTACTTCGCAGACGTATAAATCCCTTTTCCCAGTCCAATTTTTTTCCCCAATTCCATTTCCCATTTTCATACTTATTAATTAGTTAAGTGAACAAGTTGATATTATTATTGCCTTGAAGTGAGATGAAAATCCAATCGTTCATTTTATATCACCTTTATTTCATTTCTTTTAGGAAACAATTATGGATCTTCCAATTTATCGGTGAGCTCTGCACTTTCATGATTTACTTTATCTTTCCGTTGTGTGATCACAGTCAAAGTCCTGCACGATACTGCTGAATGTTAGGCGCAATTGTCACCATTTTTGGGAGAAGTGGTGAAGAGAAGCAGTACCAGCCGCAAATGGAATGAGATAGGGGAGTTAATGCGCCTCCTCGCGGGTCTCCAATAGCAATGTCCACGAGCGCTTTGGTCAGCCAAAAATGCACTGTTTCTTGAAAGCGGATTGCCCTTAAATTATCTGGAAAAATATACTGACCTAAAGGTCTGCCAAAGACCTTTTTATCACCAAATGTTCTCTTTTTTCACAGGATTTCGTACTGTGTGGCAGATCCTTACTTTTCCAAAGTGTTTGCGTTTATTTCTCGGGCGCAAGGCAGACAAGATTTAACCTGTTACGCTTTCCTATGCAGTAAAGAATCAATGGTAATGTATTGTTTCATTTGTTTTTGCTTAATGATTGTAATAAAGAGATCTCATATCGTAAAGTTCCGAGCAAAAAATAACCCTCGTTTCTTTCGGAGTTGGCAGCCTTTTCTATCGCTACTTCGGAGGAAGCTAAATGGTGTGCCATACACTGACGTATGTGGTCCGATCTATCATAACAATAAAACGTCGAGGAAGCCATCAGCCGTTCTATATATAGCGGTGAGAAAGGGTTAAACTTGGTAAAGAGAATGTTCACGTTTTGTTGAGTCACTGGAGGGTAGCAAAGGGTTTACGTGTGAAATGTGACGGGGGCAAAAATTAATGTGTAGCAAGTGAAAAGCAGTGAAAAGACTAACTAGTCTGAGTATCAGGCCTTCCTAAGGGGAAGGGAGAGAGAAGAGGAGCGAATCCCACCTTACTGATACTCGCGCTACTAAAACGCATACGTGGTTCGTGACTCAACGAAAAAACATTGTTAACAGTGGCCAAAAGTGTATGTGAAACCTGAATTTTGTTAGAATTCGTGTGTGAAACGACATCACAACTTCCACACCCCCACCTGTACTGAATCATACGCAACATTGCTTGATATAGCAGCAAATTGAAGGACAAGTTATGTTTCTTGAGGTTTTATTGCAAGAAATGGATGCTTATCAGAGTTTTCTTTTCAGGCCCAAGCTATGGCGTTGACTATCGCCGATGCCTTCAAACTTGCCTATGAAAATCACGAGAAAGGGAAAGCCGACAAAAGTCACCAGAGTTCACGAGTTGCACAGGACGACAACAAGGAAAATGCTCAGCATGTCAAGCCTGTGGTGAATCACGGTAACATTGAGGCTTTGTACGCGACCCCCGTGAAAACGAAGGCTCCTCAGCTGGCTGCACCGGTCATTCAGGTCAGCGGAGAATCTTCCTCAGCGACTGCAGTGGAGGATTCCAGCACGAAAATGCAAGCTTTGGTAATTTATCGGTTGGATTATTATCAATTGCTTATTAATAAATTCTCATACCAAAGCTACTTTCTTGCCTTAATTTACAGCAGAAGCCTAGAATTTCGTTCGATAAGTCCTGAACAAGGCTAGGCTTTGCGTGTGAATGAATGTATGAATGAATGAATGAACGAAGGAACGCATGAATGAAGTTTAGTAATCTGTCTAAAAGTACCTAGCAGAGGAAAACCCTTTGCTAACACAGGTAACACACAACTAAGAATACTGCGTAATTAAAGCCTAAAAAACTTCAGGCTTGAACGGGATTCGATACCGGTGCAGAGCTCTACCAACT